GAATGCAAAATGGTGCATCCATTTCGGAAAACAGTTTGCAGTGTCTTACAAAACTACACGCACTCTTGCTATTTGATCCAACAATTACACTTTTTGGTATTTACCCAAAGTAGTTGAATTCTCGTGTCCACACAAAAAAGCACACATAAATGTTTATAGTAGCTTTATCTATAATTGCCTAAATCTGAAAGCAATCAAGGTGCCCTTCCATAGGTAAATGGATAAACTGTGATGAAGACAATGGACTGTTATTCAATACACTAAAAAGAAATGGGCTATCAAACTATGAAAAGACATAGAGAAATCTTAAATGAACGTTGACAAAGTCGAAAGAGTTGATGTGAATAGTCTGTGTACAGTAAGAGTCCAACTATATGTCCATATATGACATTCTGGAAAAAGCAAAATTATAAAAACTGAAAGGATTAATGATTGCCAGGGTTATGGGGGAGGGGGAGATAAATAGAGCACATAGGGATTTTAGGGAAGCTAAACTCCTCTGTATAACGTAATGGTAGATACAAGTCATTCATTATGCATTTGTTAAAACCATAGGGTATATGACACCACAGTGAACCCTGATGTAAACTATTGGCCTTGATTGAAAACGTGTTAGTGCAGGTTTACTGATAGTAAAGAATATACCACTTGGAATTTATAGTAAGGTGGATGTATTTTTGTGGGTACAGGAAGCTTAATTTTTCTGTGAACTAGAATTTCTCTAAAAAATAAAATTTATTCTTGGGCTGACCTACTGTTCTAGTGGCTAAGTGAACGGGATCCCAAATGGCCAACTGTGGTACATGGGCCCTCCGGCAATCGAAAAAAAAAAAAGGCTATTTCTAAAAGACTGTACAAAGAGGATAACATTATATTGTAAAAAAGTGAATAAAAAGAAATAGTAAAAAAAGAAAAAGATGTAAATCATTATAGATTATAACTGTTCAATTTTTTTTTTTTGCCAGATTTCCTGTATCAATCACTGCTCAGGAATAATTATTGTCAAGCTTGAAATAGATCATATTATCCTTCTTAAATTTATGCACTAAATTTATGATGACAGGATAAAACTCAAACTCCTCAGAAGAGTAGATAACATAATAAATAGCTGGAAGATGAAGACTGCACCTTTCTTTGCTTCTAAATGATTGGTATAGTTCCTAATATATAATAGACATTGAATAAGTATCTGGTGACCTGTGAAATAATAAATTAATAAACTTAAAATGCTGGAGGCATTTTGAAGCTGGTTGTTTATTTCTGGGTTAATATAATGAACGCTTTCCCCTCAAACGATAATGAGGCCAATGCCATTCCTCTAACAGGACATATTGCCTTCTCATTGTGTTTCCTCTGCCTCAAGTACCGTACTCTGCATGTGTATGGCTAGACAGTTATACCTCATCCTTTACTTATAACTTAAAATTCATCCCTTTCACAGAGTGCTTCTGGGATGCTCTAGGAGTGAGGCATTCTCTCTTATCTATCCCAATAGCATTTGTTAGTTTGCATCTTTTCCAACTTCATTGTGAGCTTCTTGATCAGAGATAGTATCTCTTTTATTTGTCTGTTTCTGTATACACAAGATCAAGCATTCCTGATACATAATAGGGCAAACAAAGGGCAATCAGTGCTGGTACAAATTATTATTTTTGGCAATATTATATAGATGATGGATAGATAGATAAATTTTATTGTATATTGGTAGATTGGTGGCTAGGTCATTTAAGATACATTCCTAACATAGATGTCCTTAACTGGGTATCATGATTAAGTGAGAAGGCACTGAATTCAGACCAGCCTGATTTGACCTCTATGGCACCTGTTATTAGCAATGTAGACTTAGCAACTACTGAACTTCTCTATACTAGGCCCCTAATGATGAAAATTGGGATTTAAATAGTCTATGTCAGGTGGGTGTTGGAAGGACTGTGATCATCTGAAGTTTAGTAAAGTAGCTGATAGACAGGACTCAGTAAATTGTTGCTGTTAAATACTTGTGACTTGGGGTCTGATAATGCTGACCTGCTTCATAATTTACTAATCTCATGACTTTGGATAAAGCTGCTAAACTTTTTTGAGTTTCAGTTTATTAATATGTGAGATGGTAAAACCTTCCATAGAGTTGTTGTGTTGTGCCTTCTAGAAGAAAATATACACATAGCAAATACTTAAATGAAGGCCGTTGTCTTTTATTTCTTTAATATCTTACAATTTTCTCTAAGATGAAGAATCTAACATGCTGATAGAGTAAGACCAAGTTAGAGAGGCAGACAGCGATGACTTCCATCATGAAAATCTCTTTAAATTATGGAATAAAGATCCATTAAAGCAAATGCCTCAAGAACCATAAGAACATTTTCTAGTGTCCTGAACTTACCCAAGCTAGCAATAACTAACTAAAACTAAATAATAACTAAAAGAATAAGCAATGTTAATGACAACTTTTTTCTTCTTAATTATGCCTTCTAGTTATTTTGTAATTATGTACATGATTACACTATACGAAAATTTATGCAGTTTTGGGGAAAACAAAAACAGTAAGTGAATAATATACTTACTAACCTGTCTTCATTCCTTCATATATTCAGAGCAGACGTATCTATATAAAATTTTGCTCCTTATACAAAATAAGTTTAATATTAGATTTATCTTAAAAATAAGATGAAGCTATTTGAGATGGTATGATTCATTATATATTGACTAATAGATTAAAAAAAAACCTTTTTAGTGCATATAGCATTTTGTATTTTAAAGGATGGAAATGTAACCTTTTGACTCAGAACATTTAAAAAATATTAATACGATAAAAGTGATCAATTATTCCTAGAAAAAGTACCTATTAAAACTGAAGATATGGGACCAGCAGATGGTGTATAGTTATGTCGCTTGACTCCCACAAGGCTTGACTCCCACCGTTTGAGTCCTGAACAGGGTGGCTTAAAACTCATGCCAAGTGCATGTGCATGCATGCCCAAAATCCTGAGAGGAGAATGGAGGAGAAGGGATTGCAGCGTGACCATCCCCCCTGGGGGGTGATTTCTCGCTTTCTGTCTCTATGTCTCTCTCTGTCTGTCTGGCGAGCACATGTGCCCTATAGTGAAAAACCTCTCAAAAAAACAAACAAACAAAACAACAGCTGCAGACGACACTATTTTATTATATGAACAAGAATCAATAGTTTTAGTTTACAAATTAAATGGGCAAAATCTTTATAGTGGCTTTGTTCTATATAATTAATACAGGTATAAAGCATGTCATCTGATTCATAAGAGGAAGATGTCTATCTATTTGCCTGAAGTTAGTTGTCTGTCTTATTTTGATCTAAGTAAGAAATGCACAGAATATGGGCCAGCAAGTGGCATGGTGGTTAAGGTGCTGGATACCACATGGTTGACTCCATTGTTTTAGTCCTAGATCCAATGGCTTGAGAAACACACTGGGCATGTGTGCATGCATGCCCAAAGGCCCTGTCCTTTTGGGGGGTGATTTCCCACTTTCCGTCTCTTTGTCTCTATTATCTCTCTCTGGTGAGTGCATATGCCTTATAGCAAATATCTAAACAAAGAAAAGAAATGTACAGAATATGTTGGCTACAGGTGAATGTATGTTGTTTCCTACTGAATGAATCATCTTTGTTCCTTTCAAAGAACATATTAGCCAATGTCTATACAGCTACTATGAGTCTGGACGTATGGATGACATTCAATATGTATTTCTTGTTTCCTAAGAGTCACTCAGTCACCAAAAATTGGAAAGTATTTAGTGAATAGGGAACTTTTACTTTCTATGAGAAAAAAGAAAAATTTAAGGGTAATAAAAATAAAAGAAGATCCTCTCTCCAATAACAAGTGATCTAGTGTCGGAATGAATAAAAACATTGTTGAACATATCCACGAAAAGATGCAGGATGAAAACTCAGGGTCCAGATAGGATAATGGTCAAACTGTTAAATGTGTTCTGTTTTGATCTGGCCTGGAGTGTGTTGACCTTGCTTAAAAAGTGGACTTGATGACAGGCACAAACAATTTTGGGGCTGGTGATCTAAAGAGAGATAGGAGTTCACTGGAAAAATGAAAAACTATGGTCACGAATAGCCAGAGTTGTAGCCTTAAGAGAGAGAATGTGTCCTAAGACTACAGATAAAAACATAATTATGTTAAGGGCAGAGGAGGAAGCTAGGTCAAGGGATGAAAAACAAATAAGGAGAAAAGTTGTAAAAGAGTTGGGTAATTTAGGAAACTTGATCTGTGAGCAAAAGGACTGTACCAGGGAATGTGACCAGGGAATGCTCTCCAGGGTTCAAGGGCCCTTTAAAGGCACTACTTTGTCAGGCTAGATTCAGAACCAATTGCTCTGTTTCATTTGAGTAGGTGCCTTTGTTTATCACAAGTGACCACTTCTCAAGGACTCAATCTCCTTGGTTTCATTCTTGAACTTTCATTATTGTTATCAAAAACATGCTTCTCTACTCCCAGCATCTTAGCTGATTTCTTGCTGATTTTGAATACTTGGGTTACAAAGACAACACTTTTCCTAACCTCCCTATCACCCCAATTCCCAAATAAAATAAAAATGCTAAGATACCTCATTCCTGAGGCTGAGAAATGTTAAATTTATCACCCTCAAAGTTGGGACAACAATTGCAATTCTTTTACTCAGAACAAAAGTATAACATCCTTGAGCTCATTCAACAGATATTTATCAAGTATCCTCATATGTTTTTGTTTTATGTACGTGTGCCATGTGTAATATCCATGAGTCATTCTGGGTATGAGTCTCTATTCTATAGCATCCACCCTAGAGGGAAAGCACCAAGCCTTTCAGTTACCAGCTCATGTGGATTCCCTGATTACCCATGACTCTGATCCTACCAGATTTCATTAATGAGAATATTTTTATAGAATGTTAGCACTCTTAAAGTAATACTTTTTAGCTCTACCACATAGTTCTTTGGCCATTCCCTAACACCAGACGTTTTTATATCTGACCTCTGAACTCTTGTTTTGAATTCTCTTTTGTTTCCCGGATGTGAACATGGTAGATGTTAATTAAGCTAGGACTAACTCATAGATTATTTCTAGGATCTTCAAAGTGAAACAATGCCCACATACAAAATCTTAGAAGAGAATTCTATTCTTTTCTTTCCTTATTTATTCAAAGACACACAGTTTATATTTCACAATTGATAGGGAATTATTTAGTACAGCTAGGTTGATTTTTCAATACATTGAGGACATTTGCTCCAGGAAATTTGCCCTACAGCCGTGCTTCTCAGACTTGAATGTGCTCAAGTCATCTGGGAATCTTGTGAATATGCAGATTCTATTCTGTAGATCATTTATATAATATCAACAAATCTGTGCAGTGCAAGAAGTTCCTTCCTGAGCCCTGAGCTTGTTAGAAATGCAGACTTTTGTGTCTTACTTCAGATCCACTGAATAGAATCTGCACTTTAACAAGACGCCAGGTAATTTTTTTGCACACAAGTTTACAAAACATCATCCTAAAGATCACAGAACCAGCTATGGAGCAGCAAAAGCAAAAGCACAAATGCTATATTCTCTCTGATTATATCTCTACTGTGTCCCCTGATTATTCCCTGAGGGTGCAGCTGAATGTGATATGGAGTCATTCATGTGAAGAGAAGTAGCTTGTCCAAACCACCTTCCTTTATATTGAATCTTGAAACATTGATGTCATTTCATATAATGCATCATATACCAATGGTTGTAGACTGATATTTGAGGGCTGTGTATATACTGAAGATATGTTTTGTTGGTTATGTTGTTTGTCTTGCACATGATTAAGACACAGTAGTACTAGGCAGTGATGAGTTGATTAACACCTATTTTCTTTTATTGAAAGAAATTTTTGCTAGAGGGACCATGCACTCACTGATCAGAGACAGAGAGAAAGAGGGAAAGCGAGAAGCACCCTCAATGTGGAGTGAATACACAATCATCTCTCCTCCATTTTTCCTTTCTGAATTTTGAGCATACATACATATGCACCTTTTGTGTTTTTCAAGAAACCAAATCGGAGATTCGAATTGTGTAGTCAGCCATGTGGAATCCAACTGCTTTAACCACCACACCACTGGCTGGCCCCAACATCTATTTTCATATCTAAAGAAAATTATGGATATCATAAATAGTATATTTAGGCATTTGAGTCTGAGATTCTTTTTTTTTTTATTTTGGAGAGGTTTTTGCTACAGGGTGTGTGTGC